ATCCTGGGAACTACAGGCCAGTCACCTCAGTCCCCGGAAAAATCATGGAGCAGGTCCTCAAAGAATCAATCCTGAAGCACTTACATGAGAGGAAAGTGATCAGGAACAGTCAGCATGGATTCACCAAGGGAAGGTCATGCCTGACTAATCTAATCGCCTTCTATGATGAGATTACTGGTTCTGTGGATGAAGGGAAAGCAGTGGATGTATTGTTTCTTGACTTTAGCAAAGCTTTTGACACGGTCTCCCACAGTATTCTTGTCAGCAAGTTAAAGAAGTATGGGCTAGATGAATGCGCTATAAGGTGGATAGAAAGTTGGCTAGATTGTCGGGCTCAGTGGGTAGTGATCAATGGCTCCATGTCTAGTTGGCAGCCGGTGTCAAGTGGAGTGCCCCAGGGGTCGGTCCTGGGGCCGGTTTTGTTCAATATCTTCATAAATGATCTGGAGGATGGTGTGGATTGCACTCTCAGCAAATTTGTGGATGATACTAAACTGGGAGGAGTGGTAGATACGCTGGAGGGCAGGGATAGGATACAGAGGGACCTAGACAAATTGGAGGATTGGGCCAAAAGAAATCTGATGAGGTTCAATAAGGATAAGTGCAGGGTCCTGCACTTAGGACGGAAGAACCCAAAAATGCACAGCTACAGACTAGGGACCAAATGGCTAGGCAGCAGTTCTGTGGAAAAGGACCTAGGGGTTACAGTGGACGAGAAGCTAGATATGAGTCAACAGTGTGCCCTTGTTGCCAAGAAGGCCAATGGCATTTTGGGATGTATAAGTAGGGGCATTGCCAGCAGATCGAGGGACGTGACCGTTTCCCTCTATTTGACATTGGTGAGGCCTCATCTGGAGTACTGTGTCCAGTTTTGGGCCCCACACTACAAGAAGGATGTGGATAAATTGGAGAGAGTCCAGCGAAGGGCAACAAAAATGATTAGGGGTCTGAAACACATGACTTATGAAGAGAGGCTGAGGGAACTGGGATTGTTTAGTCTGCAGAAGAGAAGAATGAGGGGGGATTTGATAGCTGCTTTCAACTACCTGAGAGGTGGTTCCAGAGAGGATGGTTCTAGACTATTCTCAGTGATAGCAGAGGACAGGACAAGGAGTAATGGTCTCAAGTTGCAGTGGGGGAGGTTTAGGTTGGATATTAGGAAAAACTTTTTCACTAGGAGGGTGGTGAAACACTGGAATGCGTTACCTAGGGAGGTGGTAGAATCTCCTTCCTTAGAAGTTTTTCAGGTCAGGCTTGACAAAGCCCTGGCTGGGATGATTTAATTGGGGATTGGTCCTGCTTTGAGCAGGGGGTTGGATTAGATGACCTCCTGAGGTCCCTTCCAACCCTGATATTCTATGATTCTATGATCATGAAATATGAACGATATTGATGATCCCTCCTTATGACCAGCCTAGCTCTTTTAATCTATCCAGCCATCTCTCTCCCCAATCTTCCTCCTTTCTGCTGAGAAGTTCTTTGCTTTTTTACAGAGTGCTAGAAATGCCAGCCTTTTTTGTAGCTGTTGCCACCACCATTACTATTGTGATGTCAGGAGAAAGGAAACCTTGTTCTACAAGGTTCACTGATTTCAGCGTGGTAGCTGTGTTAGGTCTGTATCAGCAAAAACAACGAGGAGTACTTGTGGCACCTTAGAGACTAACAAATTTATTTGGGCATAAGCTTTCTTGGGCTAAAACCCACTTCGTCAGATGCATGGAGTAAAAAATACAGTAGGCAGATATATATACACAGTACATGAAAAGATGGGAGTTGCCTTACCAAGTGGGGGGGGGGGGGGTCAGTGCTAACGAGACAACTCAATTAAAGTGGAAGTGGGCTATTATCAACAGGAAGAAAAATCACTTTTGTAGTGGTAATGAGGCCAATGTAATCAGGGTGGCCCATTTCAAACAGTTGACAAGAAGGTGTGAGTAACAACAGGGGGAAATTAGCATAGGGAAATTAGTTTCTAGTTTTTGTAGTGACCCATCCACTTCCAGTCTTTATTCAGGCCTAATTTGATGGTGTCTAGTTTGCAAATTAATTCCAGTTCTGCAGTTTCTCTTTGGAGTATGTTTTTGAAGTTTTGTTGTTGAAGAATTGCCACTCTTAAGTCTGTTATTGAGTGTCCAGGGAGATTGAAGTGTTCTCCAACATGTTTTTGAACGTTATAATTCTTGATGACGGATTTGTGTCCATTTATTCTTTTGCATAGAGACTGTCCGGTTTGGCCAATGTACATGGCAGCAGGGCATTGCTGGCACATGATGGCATATATCACATTGGTAGAAGTGCAGTTGAATGAGCCCCTGATGGTGTGGCTGATGTGGTTAGGTCCTACGATGGTGTCCCTTGAATAGATATGTGGACAGAGTTGGCAATGGGGTTTGTTGCAGGGATAGGTTCCTGGGTTAGTGTTTCTGTTGTGTGGTGTGTAGTTGGCTTGAACAACCTCTTGAACCCCATCATTTCACTTTCTTCATCTTTTTCTTGCCTTCCTGAATTCTTTTTGTTTCAGGCGTATTCATGCCTGCTGTAACTCGGTTACAGTTTGATGTGCTAAAGCTAACAGCCTCCATACTGACTTAGAGCATTTTAATGTCTTCAATTTTGATTTTAGGGACTTTAGACCAGCTTTCTCCATTTTAATTTTTTTTAATTACCCCTTTCAAAATTTTAATTCTACATTTCACATTTTTGGTCCCTTTCTTCTCCTGAGAATGTTGAACTTGTTTATATTGCGTTATTACATGGTAATAGGACAGCTAAAGGTTATTTTTGAATCAGCTCCCATTTCTTCCTTAGGACATAATTCAGAGTAACCCAGCATACTGTGTGCTCTAAAACTAGCTGTCCTAAGAAGTTAAAGTGCGGAAAAATTGCTTCTGTAAAACTTGTCTTCATTTGACATGACCAATTTATAGGTGGGTGGAAAAAGTCACACATTACATATTACATACACAGCTTAGGTTAAAACTTCCACAAGGTACAATTCCTTTCCTTGTGCTTGGACGGTATTGCTGCCACCACCAAGTGATTTACACAAAAGTTCAGGAAAAGGGTCACTTGGCTCCCTGTTCCCCCAAAATATTCCCCCAAGCCTCTTCACCCCCTTTCCTGGGGAGGCTTAAGAATAATGTGAGTACCGACCAGACCCTTTGTCTATAGGACACTGAAAATCAAACAGGTTCTTAAAGGAAGAACTTTATTTAAAGAGAAAGTAAAAGAATCGCACCTGTAAAATCAGTATGGAAGGTAACTTTACGGGCTAAAAAAAGATTTAAACACAGAGGATTCCCCTTTAGGCTCAGCTTCAAAGTTACAAAAAACAGGACTAAAACTCCCTCTTAGCATAGGGAAAAGTCACAAGCTAAAACAAAAGATAATCTAACGCATTTCCTTGCCTTTACTTACAATTTGTGTAATTTTAGATGTATTATTGCAGGTATGTTTTCAGGAGATGTTTTACCTGCTTGGTCTCTCTCTCCATTCAGAGAGGGAACAAACAAAGGCATGGTCTACACTGAGAAGGGGCGGGGGGAATCGATCTAAGTTACGCAACTTCAGCTACGTGAATAACATAACTGAAGTTGACGTACTTAGATCGACTGACCGTGGTGTCTCCACTGCAGTGAGTCGACTGCTGCCACTCCCCCATCGACTCTGCCTGGACCTCTCGCCGAACTGGAGTACAGGAGTTGACAGGAGAGTGCTTGGGGTTCGATTTATCGCGTCTAGACTAGACGCGATAAATCGATCCCCGCTGGATCAATCGCTGCCTGCTGATCCGGCGGGTGGTGAAGACATACCCAAAGAGAGCCCAAACAAAACCCCCACCCCCGGATCTGAAAGTATCTTCTTTCCTCATTGGTCCTTTTGGTCAGGTGCCAACCAGGTTATTGGAGCTTCTTAACCCCTTCAGTACATCTGGCCAGGAGGGATTTTATGCTACTGCATACATAAAGTTGTCACCCTTCCCTTTATATTTATGACAGGACATTTCAGCTCAAATATTTCAGCTGTTACAAAAATAAGAGTAGGGAAAACATGTTGTTTTGCCCAGGTTAAAATCATTCTTCCAACTGTTTCACTGAAGGGTTCTAGTGCTTCCAGGACTGGGTGAGGGTATTTGAAATTTAGCGGAAGGGATGTGCATTTTGCCATTCATCTGAAAATTCACCCTAGGTCTCTACTTATGCTTCTGTTATCTTCCTGCAGAAACACCGGAATCCACTCCATCATGGCTCTGGTACACAACTGGCAAGTGCTAAGTCATTCTGGTTTCATTAAAATGTTTCTCTCTGATAGGGTTCTGTGCTAGAAATGTTTTGAAACTGTAGCCTATGCTTTTAGAGTAGAATTTCCAAATGAACTGAAATGAGAGAAAGGACAGGTTGAATAGCAATACGAAGGGCAAATTTGAAACGTGGTACAGGCAATAAATGTTTTGTTGAACTGTAGAGGTCCATTACACACCCTTACTCTTGTATACTGTACCCTCAGAACACTGAGATGTGGAGAATAAATATAGGTTTTTTTCAGTCCAGCCAACTCTGTCATTTCTGTTCCATCACTCCCTCCCGAGAAGAGAACAAGATCTTCACGTTTAGATTTCCCTGCTAGCCTCTCTGGCCAGAACCTAAATAGGTCATTCCCCAGGAGACATTAAGGCACTTTTCTGACTCTTAAGATATGGTCATTCCTTGGTTTTGAAAGGAGAATATCTAGCATGATAACGAAAGAGAAAGGGAAAACATAGGCGTAATAACAGTGAGCAACAAGAGCTTATGAAGAACACACCTTGGGAGAAAAAAAAGATTGCTTTTTAAATGAACACAATGCATGAAAGAAGGCGGTAGAGGTAATATATCTTACTTCAGTAAGATGTCTGGTACACTGTTCTAGAAATATTCCTTAGAAGTTTTAATCTGATTTAACTTCAGTACACTCAGGATTTGTGGGTTCTCTAATTGTCCCTTCTTTGTCTTTTCTTGCAGCAAGCACTCCGTTTCCTCCAGGGAGAACCACACCAAGTGGTAAGTGCTGTCTCGCCCTTGATTTACTAAAATTTATTTTTTTACTGTGGGATTCGACATCATACTGATCCATATGTGTGACCTAATCTGGACATGTAATCCCCAGAAGTGTCAAATGTGGTTTCATATGTGTGTCAGATTGACCCCAGTTGTCACGGTTTTACCAAGAGGGAAAGAACTAACTAATGTGTTAATAATCATTCCCTTACATCTATTTTAGGGCTGGCATTGCGACTGGTGAATTCATTTAGCAGATGTGAGGGTCGTGTTGAAGTCTATTACGCAGGATCCTGGGGGACAGTGTGTGATGATTCTTGGGATCTCAATGACGCCAATGTTGTGTGCAGGCAGCTTGGATGTGGATATGGTGTTGCAGCAAAGACCAATGCCTATTACGGTCAAGGCTCAGGAAATATTGTTCTGGATGATGTGAGATGCAAAGGATGGGAATACAGTCTATGGGACTGTCCTCATTCAGGATGGCTCTCTCATAACTGTGGTCATTCTGAAGATGCCGGTGTCATCTGCTCAGGTAAATACCAAGAGTTTGCAGGTGTCTTGCAGGTGCATGACCACGCTTTTCACCATGTCAAAGATGTTTTTGAAAGTCACATTACAAGGTTTTCAATACATGAAATACAGTTTTTGGGACTGGATCCCATACTAAAAAGGCCACTTTTCTACTTCCTCAAACATTAGTTCCATGCTTCAATCAGCCAGCCAGTTAGTTCCATGATGAATGTGGTTTTGCTAACATAGAATAAAGATATACAAGAAAAAAAAAAGGTGAGGGGGAGGGGAATCACCCTAGGATAGCCAAGTACAGCTGACATTAGTCTGAAGTTCCAAAGGGCAGCATCTGTCAACCAGGGTTAGTTTTCTGTTCTGGTAACCTCACTTCCTTTGAAAGTAGAATACTGTAGTGGTGATAGGGCATGGAAATGGGATGTGGGAAACCTAGATTTTATTCATGACTCTGCCATGCCACTTAGCTTCTTTCGGCCTCATTCACCAAAAAAGTAAAATAGGGATAATAAATATAATATTGAGCAAAACTGATATAAATATAAAATCTTGCAATTGACACCATGCTCTCTCTGACTGAAGGGACGTCTCTTGAACGATGGATGATGGGATCTCGTTTTGGATCTATTAAAATGTCAATTTAAAATAATGTTTAGGCCATGTCCTCAGTTGATATAAATTGGTGTAACTCCAGTCAAGCCAATGGATCTACACTAATTTACAGCAGCAAAGCACTGGTCCTGTGTGTTTCCTTGGTTCTTTGGGGCATTCAGAAATTAGCCAGTTGTATATAAACAGCTTATAAGTCATCTTACAACCTTGAATAAATACTGAATAAAACACAAGCAAACATACAAAATTCCCAAACTATATTCCCATGTCATTTTGTGCTAAAGGAAAGAAGAAGAAAATTTTGTGCCGCAATATTCATAAAAAGAAAAGGTTTCTAAGAAAGTAATTTAAAATATCACAGTTGTAATACAGAAATTTGTGTATATTAAGCAATAAAATAATTGATTCTTGTGTCCATATTAAAAAAATATCTATTTTTGTCTTTGTTCTCTCAAAAGAGAGCACTACACCCACTTATGAAACTAATACAACCATTCCTGACACCACAACTACGACGCCAGAGCCAACCACCACCTGTAAGCCCTATTTTATCTTTCTTTATTTTATCTGTAAGCCCTATTTTATCTTTGCTAATATTGTATCTATTTTATATAGTACCCACCTACTGAAAATATAGACTAGAATTTTACAGTTTAATGACCATATTCACTGAAATGAAATCACTAGCACGAGGACTGGATGATGGAGCTAGGCTGTTCTCAGTGGTGGCAGATGTGACAGAACAAGAAGTAATAGTCTCAAGTTGCAGTGTGGAAGATCTAGGCTGGATATTAGGAAAAACTATTTCACTGGGAGGGTGGTGAAGCACTGGAATGGGTTACCTAGAGAGGTGGTGGAATCTGCATGTTTAGAGGTTTTTAAGGCCTGGCTTAACAAAGCCCTGGCTGGGATGATTTAATTGGGGTTGGTACTGCTTTGAGAAGGGGGTTGGACTAGATGACCTCCTGAGGTCTCTTCCAACCCTAATTTTCTATGATTCTATGACTTCAGAAGACTAAGCATATGAATAATAACTGTGGGCAACATGAGCTTTGGAAGAATGCATCATAGGAGAAAAAAATGATCACTGTTTTTGAGAAACAGAGTGAATGAAGAAGGCCGTGGCTGTAACGTATCTGGACTCAGATGTAAGACATCTGGTCACTATATCAGAAACATTCCTTGGACACTTTAGTTAGTATTGGCTTGAACCTAAGTATTGTCACATGGATTAAAATAGAAAGATGAATGCTTAAAGAAGCATTGTGATGTGCAGCAATGTATCAACTTGAGTTGTAGCGAGCAGAGAGTTTTCGCAGGGACTGATCCCAGAGGAGGGTTTCAGAGGGGGCTGGTAATATCTATGGGTGTCTGAAGTCAGAACTGCTCTGATATGCTACCGTAAGCCTGGAGGCAGCAGCTCCTCATGGGAGAGAATGTAGTCACAGAACAGCCAGCCCCTCTCACACCTTGCCATAAACCTCCCTTTCTGCAGGGGTATAGGGAGCACCGCGAGCGGAGTTTTGTGGCACACACAGGGTGCACCCCCTACGAAGGTCTTTCTAGTGCCAAACAACATTGGATGTGAGAAAATTATGCTTTCTGAACAAGTTACTACGTTTATACAGGAAAAAAGATAAAGCTTTCTAGAAGCCTAAGTATTTTGTACTAATATAGTTTGTGTTATGTGCTTTTTTTCAGTTGAAACAATCAGTGATGGTGAGCCTGTCTACATACAGTATTGTTTACATTTATATTGATTTTAATTTACAATGTTATGCATTTAGCTAACAACTTTCTGTGTTCTGGTTTGGAAAATGACAATGCCCTGTGAATTTAATTATGATTGTCATGAAATTGAAATTGAAGCCTTGGAAATATGAGTCAGCAGTGTGCCCTCGTTGCTAAGAAGGCCAATGGCATTTTGGGATGTATAAGTAGGGGCATAGCGAGCAGATCGAGGGACGTGATCGTTCCCCTCTATTCGACATTGGTGAGGCCTCATCTGGAGTACTGTGTCCAGTTTTGGGCCCCACACTACAAGAAGGATGTGGATAAATTGGAGAGAGTCCAGCGAAGGGCAACAAAAATGATTAGGGGTCTGGAACACATGACTTATGAGGAGAGGCTGAGGGAACTGGGATTGTTTAGTCTGCGGAAGAGAGGAATGAGGGGGGATTTGATAGCTGCTTTCAACTACCTGAGAGGTGGTTCCAGAGAGGATGGTTCTAGAGTATTCTCAGTGGTAGAAGAGGACAGGACAAGGAGTAATGGTCTCAAGTTGCAGCGGGGGAGGTTTAGGTTGGATATTAGGAAAAACATTTTCACTAGGAGGGTGGTGAAACACTGGAATGCGTTACCTAGGGAGGTGGTAGAATCTCCTTCCTTAGAGGTTTTTCAGGTCAGGCTTGACAAAGCCCTGGCTGGGATGATTTAATTGGGATTGGTCCTGCTTTGAGCAGGGGGTTGGACTAGATGACCTCCTGAGGTCCCTTCCAACCCTGATATTCTATGATTCTAAATGAGAAGTGAGTTTCATGCTTGGGAAAAATAGTTCAGAGTGCTGGATCACAAAGTCTCCTATTCATTCACAGAAAAAGCACAGCACAAGCCATGGCTACGCGGGCCAACATTCCTCATTTGGTGGGACCTCTCGTGTGAGGCACATTGACCACTGAGTCCTTGGCCTCTCTGCTGAGATAATCATGCCAACTAGGGTAGTGCTATGGCCAACGAGGAGCTAAAGGAGGGGCACTAGCTTCTCAATAAGTGGCATTGCATTGCCAGTATGGGACAAATTTTAATTGGTAACCAAAAAGCATTAAAACATCGCCATGTGAAAATGGACAAATAGTCTAGCAATCAATTGATTTGTGTCTTTCACAGAGCTGGTGCTAGGACTTGCAAATGGGCCAAACCACTGTGCAGGTCGTGTTGAAATCCTTTACTATGGAGGCTGGGTAAAAGTTTGTGGTGATTTGTGGGACATGAACGATGCACGAGTTGTGTGCAGGCAACTGGGCTGTGGCGAGCCTGTTGCTGCTCTGAGAAATAGCTATTTTGGAGAAGGCTGGGCAAGTCCTTGGATGACTAATGTGAACTGCATTGGCTCTGAAGACTTTTTGTGGTCTTGCCCTTATGAACACCCACACTATTCATGTGGCGTTTATGGAGATGCTAGTGTCATATGTGCAGGTATGTATTCTCTTTTATTGCATATCTGTAGCTTTTATACTCAGCGAATCAGCTTTGTGTTTGTTGTAAGATAGACTAAGGATTGTACTTTTAAAAGTTTTGCTTTACACTTTTTCTTTCAGTATATATCATATTCTTAGCAAAAATACACTTCAAATATGTAATCCATACTTTAAAGGAAAGTTCATTAGGTGTTGATGCAGATTATACCGATGAGTGATGTGATATGAACCATCTAGTGTGTGTAGGTCAGGAGTTTTATCAGCTGGGTTAGTATGGTCCCAATCCGACATCCCTTAAGGTCAAGGGATATTTCTCCATTAACTTTAGTGGGATTTGGTTTGAGTCACAGGAAGCAGAATTTTATTATCCGTGGGTTATTCCAATGATTAATATAATTAAGTTTTTGTAAACATGGTGTTTCATGCTTCTGCTTTGTTGATTTGAAACATGACATCCTCAATGAAGGACCCATCCAATAGGAATGTCCCAGGTCTAAAAGTCTGATGTTTCTACATCAACAGGTTCTGGACTAACAGCGCCTCCAGAAACAGGTAACTCAGGATTTATACTTTGCCTTGTAAATTATGGACTTGATCCTGTTAGATGCTGAGCAATCTGGCTCTAATTCAGCAAAGCATTTAAGCACAGGCTTAAATGTATGCCCTTAAATAGTCCTATTGCAGTCAGTGAGACCACTCGTGTTTAAATATTTTGCTGGACCAAAGCCAGACTGCTCAGTACCTGGCTGAATAGGTTCTATATGTTGAACTGCGCATCTCCGGAATCTGTACTTGAGTGTCTAAAGGCGCTTACAATGCAGGTATAATAGACGGGAACTCTAACCAGAAGTGTATAATACTGCTATACAAGAGGCTGAGCTGCTGCTATTAAGAAATGAAACAAAGGAGCTGTTAGATGCAATCTCTTACATTTTTTTCTTGCTGAAAAAGAAACAATGTAATGTTTTGAAAGTATTGGTCTTCATTGTAGGCACTGAAAAGTTTTATCTCCTTTGGTTGTGGCTATTAAAACTGTAATAAGTACTCCTCAGGGAATACAGGAAAAAGCTGATGTACCCAAAACTATAGTTGTGGGCATGGAATTCACAAGAACTACACATCTAGATAAGCCCCTGTTTAGTTGATACTAAATAATAAGAAAGGATAGATTCCTTCCAGAAGATTCTGCGGCACCACTTTATATTTGGCCCTGTAATAATGTTTAGTCCAGATCCTCACCCCATTTGAATTGGTGTGGCTGATCCAAGTCAATGTATCTACTCCGTTGTACACCAGCAGGGGATCTGGCTCTGCGAGATTCCTTGACTATTTGGCACATTCATCAAATTACCCAGTAATAAAGAGATGAACAATTGAGAAGACACCTTTAAACTATAATAATTGTTCAAAGAATAAGAAACAAACAACCACAAATTCCTTCACCATATACTAGGGCTGTCGATTAATTGCAGTTAACTCACACAATTCACTCAAAAAAATTAATCATAATTAAAAAAATGAATGGTGATTAATCAGAGTCTTAATTGCACTGTTAAACAATAGAATACCAATTGAAATTTATTAAATATTTTTGGATGTCTTTCTACATTTTCACATATATTGACATCAGTTACAACACAGAATACAAAATATGCAATGCTCACTTTATATTATTATTTTTGATTACAAATATTTGGTCTGTAAAAATGATCAACAAAAGAAATAGTATTTTTCAATCCACCTCATCCAAGTACTGTAGTGCAATCTCTTTAACGTGAAAATGCAGCTTACAAATGTAGATTTTTTTTTCTGTTACATAACTGCACTCAAAGATAAAACAGTGTAAAACTTTAGAGCCTAGAAGTCCACTCAGTCCTGCTTCTTGTTCAGCCAATCACCAAGAGAAACAAGTTTGTTTACATTTATGGGAGATAATGTTGCCCGCTTCTGATTTACAACATCATCTGAAAGTGAGAATAGGCGTTTGCGTGGCACTTTTGTAGCTGGCATTGGAAGGTATTTACATGCCAGATATTTTAAACATTCATATATGCCCCTTCATGCTTCATCCACCATTCCAGAGGACATGCTTCCATGCTGATGGCGCGTGTTAAAAAAATAATGCATTAATTAAATTTGCGACTGAACTCCTTGGGGGGAGAATTGTATGCCTCCTGCTCTGTTTTACCCCCATTCTGCCATATGTTTCATGTTATAGCAGTCTCGGATGATGACCCAGTATGTGGTTCATTTCAAGAACACTATCACTGCAGATTTCACAAAATGCAAGGAAGGTACCAATGTGAGATTTCTAAGGATAGATATAGCACTCGACCCAAGGTTTAAGAATCAGAAGTGGTTCCAAAATCTGAGGGGGATGAGGTGTGGAGTATGCTTTCAGAAGTCTTAAAAGAGCAACACTCCGATGCAGAATCTAGAGAACCCAAACCACCAAAAAAGAAAATCAATCTTCTCTGCTGGTGGCATTTGACTCAGATGATGAAAATGAACATGCATTGGTCTGCACTGTTTTGAATCATTATCAAACAGAACCCGTCCTCAGCATGAGCGCATATCATCTGGAATGGTGGTTAAAGCATGAAGGGACATGTGAATCTTCAGTGCATCTGGCACGTAAATATCTTGCGACGCCAGCTACAACAGTGCCATGCAAATGATTGTTCTCACTTTCAGGTGACATTGTAAATAAGAAGCGGGCAGCATTATCTCCTGCAAATGTAAACAAACTTGTTTGTCTGAGCTGTTGGCTGAACAAGAAGTAGGACGGAGTGGACTTGCAGGCTCTAACATTTTACATTGTTTTATTTCTGAGTGCAGTTTTTTTGTACATAATTCTACACTTGTAAGTTCAACTTTCATATAAAGAGATTTCACTGCAGTATTTTGTAATGGGGAAATTGAAAAATACTGTTTCTTTCGTTTTTTTACAGTGCAAATATTTGTAATAAAAATAAGTATAAAGTGAGCACTGTACATTTGCTCTTATGGAGAAGTTGTTGTTCTCTCTCACCAACGGTACTTATTTCAGTAAAAGATATTATCTGACTCACTTTGTCTCTCTTACAGAGAAGTGCCATAGAATTTAATAGAAAATTATACCCTATCATTTTAACTGTTCTATAGAGTTTTTCATAGGCATTGATATTCCTGCTATAAAATTCTATATGGTGATTCAAACACCGATAGAAAGGGCATTATCACTATTAAATTTTATAATTTTTAGAATAACTAGCAAGCTCTACTGAGTTCCTATAGATGTAATGTCTGTTAAGTCCAAACCCTTTTCCATTGACACCCCTCCTAGTTTACCTCTTTCTGCTCTGAAGCTCCTTCCATTGGTACAGAGACATTTCCATGATTTTTATTTTTGTTTGTTTGCCTGTTTTTGTTGAGCTCCATTATCTAAAGTCCTGCTATTTGTCTAGGACTTTTCCAGGGGATCTCAACCTGCCCCATCTCCTGTTCAGCTGCACGGTCTTCCCTGTTCTTTACTACCAGATGCAGAGTTGTGCTTGTATTATTCACATCCCTGGCAGATGTGTTCGTCTGAGCTGAGCTCTCCTTTGCACTCATCTTGCTAATTAAGGGTTTGATAGTTCCATAATGGCACAGCCCTGCAGTGGGGGTGGTGGAGAGCCAATACAGGGTCCTAGATTAATTTTTTTAATCGCGATTAATTTTTTTGAGTTAATCACGTGAATTAACTGCGATTAATCAACAGCCCTATATAAAAGTTCTAAATATTATTGTTGTTATGTTGATTTATAATATTTGTCTTTAAATTGTTCAGGAGATTTTCTTAAGGAGCCAATGTGCATTCAGAGGCTGGGATTTAGAGCATGTTTTGCTGTTCCTCAGCTCTTGCATATCGTTGGCTATTTCTATTGCAAATTAATGTTCATCTCCTTGATAGCACAATAACAGGATCCATTGTCATTGTCATAAATGTCTTCTCTAATTGTGCCTTTGTCTTACTACAGCGAGCACCTCTTTCCCTCCAGTGAGCACCACTCTAAACAGTAAGTGTTGTCTCACCTTGTTTTAATAAAATTTCTTCTTTTACTATGGGATTCGGCACCATCGACCTGATCACAAGAACAGCCCTACTAGTTCAGACCAGCAGTTCATCTAGCCCAGAATCCTGCCTTCTAACAGTGGCCAATGCCAGATGCTTCAGAGGGAATGAACAGACAAGGGAAATTTTGAGTGATCAATTCCCTGTCCCAGCTGCTGGCAGTTGGTGGTTTAGCGACCACCAGGGCATGGGGTTGTGTTCCTGACAATTTTGGCTAATAGCCATTGATGGACCTATCCTCCGTGAACTTCTCATTCTTTTATGAACCCAGTTATACATATGACCTTCACAACATCCCGTGGCAATGAGTTTTACAGGTTAACTGTGTATTGGACTAAGTAGTACAGCCTTTTGTTTGTTTTAAACTTGCTGCCTATTAATTTCATCGGGTAACCCCCCCTCCCCCTAGTTTTTGTGTTATGTGAAGGGGTAAATAACATCTCCTTACTCATGTTCTTCATAACATTCATGATTTTATAGATGTCTATCATATTACCCCGTAGTGGTCTCTTTTCTAAGCTTAGGAGCCCCAGTCTTTTTAATCTGTCCTCGTATGGAAGCTGTTCTACAACTCAAATCAATTTGTCGCCCTTCTCTGTACTTTTTCTAATTCTTCTACATCTTTTAAGAAATGGGGTGACCACAACTGCAAGCAGTATTCAATATGTGGATGTGCCAGGGATTTTATTGTGGCATTATGATATTTTTTATCTTATCATCTATTCCTTTCATCATGATTCCCATCATTCTGTTAGCTTTTTTGCCTGCCACTGCACATTGAGCAAATGTTTTCACAGAACTACCCGTGATGACTCCAAGATCCCTATTTTGAGTGGTAACAGCTAGTTAAGATGCCATCTTTTAGTATGTACACTTGGGATTACTTTTTCAAATGTGTTTTTCTAATGTTGATCCAGAAATGTGATCTGGCCATGGAATCCCCACAGCAGTCAATTGGATTTCCATACATGGATCAGATTCACCCCAGTTGCCAGAAAGTTATGAAAAGGAATGAAACTATAACGAATGTGCTAAAAATCATTCCCTTACATCTATTTTAGAGCTGGCATTGCGACTGGTGAATTCATTTAGCAGATGTGAGGGTCGTGTTGAAGTCTATTACGCAGGATCCTGGGGGACAGTGTGTGATGATTCTTGGGATCTCAATGACGCCAATGTTGTGTGCAGGCAGCTTGGATGTGGATATGGTGTTGCAGCAAAGACCAATGCCTATTACGGTCAAGGCTCAGGAAATATTGTTCTGGATGATGTGAGATGCAAAGGATGGGAATACAGTCTATGGGACTGTCCTCATTCAGGATGGCTCTCTCATAACTGTGGTCATTCTGAAGATGCCGGTGTCATCTGCTCAGGTAAATACCAAGAGTTTGCAGGTGTCTTGCAGGTGCATGACCACGCTTTTCACCATGTCAAAGATGTTTTTGAAAGTCACATTACAAGGTTTTCAATACATGAAATACAGTTTTTGGGACTGGATCCCATACTAAAAAGGCCACTTTTCTACTTCCTCAAACATTAGTTCCATGCTTCAATCAGCCAGCCAGTTAGTTCCATGGTGAATGTGATAGAATAAAGATATACAAGGAAAAAAAAAAGGAGTGGGGTGGGGTGGGGAGAAGCACGCTAGGATAGCCAAGTACTGCTGATATTAGTCTGAAGTTCCAAAGGGCAGCATCTGTCAACCAGGGTTAGTTTTCTGTTCTGGTAACCTCACTTCCTTTGAAAGTAGAATACTGTAGTGGTGATAGGCCATGGAAATGGGATGTAGGAAACCTAGATATTATTCATGACTCTGCCATGCCACTTAGCTTCTTTAGGCCTCATTCACCTAAAAAGTAAAACAGGGATAATGAGACATAGTCAACTTCATGAAGCACTTAGAGATCCAAAGATGAAAGCCCTATTTAAGTTTCAGCCGTAATCTTTTGCCCTCAAGAGCGGTAAATTTTTCTGGGAATTTTTTCACTGAGCTCAGTGGGGAGTCAGGCACATTTTATGGTGTCCCGTCACAAGATATTACAAACATGATGTCTTCAAAGTTTTGCTCTACTTGTTTTCAGACATAACATCCTCCAGTAAAGTCATGCAGCTTCGAATGTCATTTCCCCTTATAACGTTATAAATACATCTAAGCTAATGCCAGATTTCCCCCCCCCCCTATTCATTAGCAATTTCAAAAAATCATTTGTGGTCTGGATCAAAAACCAAATATTTGAAAATTTCAGTCAATCAAAAAGTTGAGAAAAGTATGTTTCAGGTAATTCAAAACATTTTATTTGAATACAATCACAACGTTTTGGTTTGATTTCAGCTCGTTTCACAGGTTGGGGGTGTTTTTTGTTGTTGTTTTTTAAAAAAAGGAGATTTTGAAACTAAAAGTCATTTCAAAGTAAAGAAATGAAATATTTCTTTGACATTTTCAAAACCAAATATTCTTAGTGTGGTGTTTGATATTGTAATATAATTGAACAATGAATTGAAACTAGCATGAATTGTGCAATGTTTTGGTGTTGCTGAATCTGCAATTTTGCTGAAAAAAGTTTTGGCCTAAAAATTTTGCCCAATTCTACGGCACTAATAAATACTAAAAACAGTTAATATAATTGCTTATGTTTCTCCCTACTCGCTGCTGGATATCCAACGTCTATGCTTCTATTATCTTCCTGCAGGAACATCAGGATCCACTCCATCATGGCCCTGGTACACAACAACTGGCAAGTGCTAAGTCATTCTGCTTTCATTAAAATGTTTCTCTCTGATACGGCACTAATAAATACTAAAAACTGTTAATATAATTTCTTATGTTTCTCCCTACTCGCTGCTGGATATCCAACGTCTATGCTTCTATTATCTTCCTGCAGGAACATCAGGATCCACTACATCATGGCCCTGGTACACAACAACTGGCAAGTGCTAAGTCATTCTGCTTTCATTAAAATGTTTCTCTCTGATAGGGTTCTGTGCTAGAAATGTTTTGAAACTGTAGCCTATGGTTTTAGAGTAGAATTGCCACATGAACTGAAATGAGAGAGAGGCTAGGCTGAATAGCAATATGAAGGGCAAATTTCAAACGTGGTACAGGTAATAAATGCCTTTACTTACAATTTCCTTGCCTTTACTTACAATTCTGTAATTTTAGATGTATCATTTCAGGTATGTTTTCAGGAGATGTTTTACCTGCTTGGTCTCTCTCTCTCCGTTCAGAGAGGGAACAAACAAAGGCATGGTCTACACTGGGAGGGGGCGGGGGGAATCGATCTAAGTTACGCAACTTCAGCTACGTGAATAACATAACTGAAGTTGACATAGTTAGATCGACTGACCGTGGTGTCTCCACCGCAGTGAGTCGACTGCTGCCACTCCCCCGTTGACTCTGCCTGGACCTCTCGCCGAATTGGAGTACAGGAGTCGACAGGAGAGCGCTCGGGGTTCGATTTATCGCGTCTAGACTAGACGCGATAAATTGATTCCCACTGGATCGATACCCAAAGAGAGCCCAAACAAAATCTCCACCCCCGGATCTGAAAGTATCTTCTTTCCTCATTGGAAGGAGGAGTGTACAAGTCTTATGTCACTTAAAGCTCTGCATTAAGTAAAACTTGTTACGTTCCAAAGTTGACTGTAGAGGCAGTTTTCATTCAGGCTGTAATTTTTGTCCCCAGTGCACCAGGTGTTTCTTCAAAAATTTACTTCCAACCTGAATTAATAACATTACGCTTTTTTCCTTCTGATAATGTTATCCTTCTTTCCTGAACATTTTCTTTGGCCCATATTTTCTGTCTTCAGCTATATACATTTAGTGCCTAATCTTGAGAGGTGCTGAGCATTAAATGAGACTGTGAGTGGGATCAACAGCGGATCAACAGCTCTTGGGATCAGATGCTCGTCATAGAGCACCTTTTATACAGACCATTGAAGTTATGGGAGGCTTTCCTTTAACTTCAGTAGGTTTTGACTCTGAGTGATAAATCATATACAAATATATGCAAAAGTAAAGTATAAATGACTCATATGTTTTTTTCTTACATTTTGTTCTGCAGCAAAATATACTTGTGGTGGTGTCCTTCAGTATTCATCTGGGACATTTCAAAGCCCATTCTACCCTGGAAATTATCCAAACAATGCAGATTGTGTGTGGGAAATAGAAGCAGTGAGCAATTACCGTATAACACTTTCATTTAGAGATATCTCGTAAGTAAAGCACTAATTTTCTGGGCAATTCATGGGTTCAAAGTCATGGACTTTTCTAACTGGTACCCTCTCCATTTGAAGGACATTTCTCAACAGGGTTTAACAATTCTAAGTGACCAGTAAAACTAAAATGAAAATTGCATGAATGGAGTATTTGTTGTTACTTGTTGAGTCCTAACAAAGTGAAGGGTACCATACAAGATACAAAATGAAGACAATCTCTGCCACGAACACTTTGCAGTCTGAAGGGTTTAATCTGAGATTTATGTGCTGCTTTGTGATGAATGCTTAAATAGAAGTTTACAAAATAGTTTACAAAATGTTCATGTTTATTCCCCAGGACAGAAGGTGGTAGATGCCAGTATGATTATATAGAGATATATGATGGGCCACTCTACACTTCTCCTTTACTGGGGAAAATTTGTTCTGGTTCCTATCTCACATATACGTCGTCCTCAAACTTGATGACAGTTCGATTTCACAGTAACTCGATTATCACAAACAGAGGGTTTCGTGCTACCTATTACACCGTTCCAGCAGATCAGAATACTTGTAAGTTCATGTTTAATACAGAACTTTGCTTTTCAGCAGACAAGCCTATTTATTGATTTTATTTGATAAATAACCATTGATTAATGTTCAACCACCTCAGTATAGTACCACTCACTGTCATCTTTCACATTGTGTGATTACTGACCTATTACTTTCAGACAATAGTTTGATTTTCTTTAAATATGAAACTGTTTGTTATCAAATTACTTTTGGACATTTTCTCTTATATTCAGCCTAAATTTACTTTTTCACCATCTCATTTCATTACTGTTACTTATGGCCCCTTGTACTACCTAACCTCTCATTCTCTTTGCATCTGATCCTAGTCCTGATGCAGGCAAAACTCTCATTGCAATCACCACAATTCATACAGTGTGAGTCAATTTCATGTCCTCTCTACAACTCATTAGTTATTATTTATTTGACCTCAATGCCTGTTTAGCACCTTGCTGGTGCATGTTTAGTATTAGAATTATTTATATTTAGAATCATTCCCTGCACTTCCTTTCCCAGTTTTTGATGATCTTCCATGAGTCCCCTGCAATTTTTTCGCATCTTCAGCAACAGAGGTACCCACAAGTGAATTTGAACAACTTTCACAGCCAGTCAAAACCTGATCCTTAAGTCCTCATTCAGGGAAAACTCCTATTCTTTTCAGTGTGTCTTTTGTTCAAGAAAAGACTATACAGGATCCCGTCCCCAATGAAGGACTATCACTTTGATTCTCATAGATGTGAGTCAGCCTCTGCACATGTATCTCCAAACCCCATAAGGCTTATGTAAGATCATAGATACAAACCCCTGATTCTGCAACCCTTACTCATATTGAATAGCACGTAACTGGTCAGTTCCATTGGCTGATCAGGATAATTCATGATTGCAAAATAGCTGTCGACCAACACACCAATTTCATTTTACTTTACTGTTTGTCTTCACCTCCCCTTGTGTTTAGATCATTCTCTCCCACAAATACTGAAAGTATTTAGTTCATTTCATTAACAAAGGCCTGGTAATATTGTCCTTAATTTTACTCAAGGAAAATTCCAAGCAACTTCAAGTGGACTTTCTCTTGACTCCAGAATTTGTTCTACTATGGTAACTGTGATTCATATGATCCTTAACACTGATGAGAGACTCTCTCTGATCACAAGGAGAGAAATTATAATTTGCAGATTTTCTTCGTGACAGTTATCCACAGCCTAAACCACAGGTCCCTGGTGCATAATTTGATAATTATGACATATGAAAGGTGAAATCGTGGTTTGTCTTATGAACACCCTCCCCTCTCCCAACATACACACAGAATAGATAGCAGCAAATATATTGGTTGAACATTTAATTATTACTGTATGCCTGAATGCACTAATATGTGTTTTATCCACCCACCAGCTCTTCTGTGCTTGCCAGAATACATGCATGCAGTTGTTAGCAGAGCCTATCTCCACTCACAAGGCTACATTGCAGAGAATATCAGATTGAATGACCCTTATTGTAAACCAAAGATTACACCAAACTATGTTATATTCAACATACCATACAATGGCTGTGGCACAAGACGAGAGGTATGAAGTTGAATATTTAGCAACCTGTGTAAGTAGGTCTGTGCAAA